TAAACAGATTATATTTAAGAAAATAGAAGAAAAATTTCTTGCCATTTCTAGAAGGGAAAGAAAAGAGCTGCTACTAACTGAATATTTTTTATGTTAGAGTTAATTTCCAACTGGATATCTATAACATGAGACTTCAGCCATAATATGTATTTTAAAATTATTAAACTGTCAATTCATTTATTCTAGAATGTATAAAAATTATATAATTAGATATCCTCTGGGGTTTTTAAAAATATAGTTTACTGAAAGATAAGCTGTTAAAATTGTTATTTTTATTCTGAAGCTAAGCAGATCGTTTTGCTATTTTAGGTTTATTTTTGAGGGGAACTATCAACTTTTTGAGATTTTTTCTCTTATAAATAGTGTAGACATTCATTATAGAAAATACAAAAAAGCCTATGTTTTTAATTTAACGATATATGGTACCAGTTTGTCTCCTATCAGCAATACGTAAGTATAATTGTATACTTGTTTATCTCCACTTCTGTCAACACAGATTCTTTTTCAGGGGAGAAGAGCAGGGTGGAGGGAAGAAGAGCCTTGTGCTAGGTATATGTGTTTACTAGTTTCTGATCCAAAAAAAAAAGTTCGTGCACGCCACTTCAGTGGCCTGGGGTTTGCCGGTTCGGTTCCCAGGGTGTGGACCTACATACTGCTCATCAAGCTGTGCTGTGGTGGTGTCCCACATACAAAATAGAGGAAGATGGGCACAGATCTCAGCAACAATCTTCCTCAAGCAAAAAGAGGAGGACTGGTAACAGATGTTAGCTCAGCGCCAATCTTCCTCACCCCCCTCCCCCAAAAAAAAAGCATTCTCTTGTTAACCTAAGTAAAGAGATAAACTGAGGCAGGCTCAAATTACCAGAAATTGAGTTTATTTGGGAATAGCAGAGGAATTGCAGTACAGAAATGCATGCTGTAGCAAGCTACAGGCAAGTCCGTTGAGGGTTGGGGAGAGCTATATTTGTGGACAAGGATGCAGTAACGGGGAAGACAAGCCACAGTCCAAGCAGTAAGTTCAGTGGCTTCAGGGTGGAGAGAGACTCTTGGTGTATGTTCATTGGTCAGCAGATAAGCTTTAGTCTCCTGTATATTGGGCATTTATGGGAAATCAGTCTCCTCCCTTCCTAAGTTCCATTCTTCTGAGGGTGCGTGTGTGAGATCTGTCCATTTTCCATCCTCTGCTTCCATTTTAGATTGAAATCCTTTCACACTCTACTTCAAATACAAATAATTATCTGTATTTTCTGTTTTTTAAATTTTTTAATAATCTCTTCTAAACATACTGTTAATATATCATATGGATTTTTTAAAATTATAGTTTGGGCCTGGCCCTGTGGCCGAGTGGTTAAAGTTCCGTGCACTCCGCTTTGGTGGCCCGGGTTTGCAGATTCAGGTCCCGGGTGCAGACCTGCTCCACTCACCAGCCACGCTGTGTCAGCATCCCACATACAAGAAAATAGAGGAAAACTGGCACAGATGTTAGCTCAGGGCTAGTCTTTCTCAAGCAAAAAAAGGGAAGATTAGCAACAGACGTTAAGGTCAGGGCGAATCTTCCTCAAGCAAAAAAAATTATAGTTTAATGTAGGAATCTATATTTCATTCCACTGACATTTATAGAATAAACCATCCTTTTCCCACCCATTTGCAATGCACCTTCCTCTTTCTCTTTTAATGAGGAAAATGGTTAAGGGTGCTTTATTTTTTTCCTCACCGACTCTTGTGGTATCAAGTTAAATATACAATTCTTAAATTAACTAGGGCCTGTTTTTACGTTTTTTTTTCTTCCTTTTGGAGTTTTGAACCATCTGTATTTTCTTGTGTCACTACTGCACTTGCATGGATTTTAGACACTAGTTCAAAATATGACTTTATTTTGGTTCCTATCAAACACTCATGGTGTTCTAATTATTGAACAAAGTTTAAATATTTCTGAAATATTGTAACTTAAATCCATTCCTTAAGATTTACTGTGACACAAGGCACCATGCTGGGCGTGGGGGATAGTGCCAAGAACAAGGCAGACAAGGATCCTGCCTGGGCACCCTGCCTCAGTGTGTAATGGGAATACAGACTTGTTAACAGGCAATTGGAGTGTTATGAAGCTCTCATAACACTGGGAGGATGCTGAGTCAGGGTTGGCTTCCCAGAGGAATCATCTTAGCGATAGACTTAAGAATAAGTAGGCTGAGTAGATGTTAACCAGGCAAATAGCCTGGACAGAGTGTTTGCTTACGCAGGCTGAGAGGAAGGGAAACATTTGGAGGCCAGAAGCAGAAGCTAGTGATTTGCCACAAGGGAGCTGGAAGAGCGCCTATCTGTGGAGAGTGGAGCTGATGGAGAGGAGGGAGTCAGTCGTAAGCCCGGCTAGAAAGGTCTTCAGGAATCATACAGATCCTCAGGCAATGGGTTTCAAGCAAGTGAGATTTTCACTTTTTCAGTTTAAAACATCATTCTTGCGTCCTGCAGTGAGGAGACTGGATTCAAGGTGACAGTTGTGACTAGGGGCTTGGAGACTTGTTCAGTATTACAGGTGAAGATTGAAAATAGCCTAAATTAGGATAGAGCAGTAGGAATAGACAGGACAAGTTAGATATCTGGAAAGTGGGATTGAAGGGTGTGGTGACTGAATGAGGGGAAAGGGAGGCATCTAGGAACGGCCCAGGTTTCTGCCTTAGACAGGTGGGTGTGGAGGTAGGAGCGGAACAGGTTGTGGACATGTTGCATATGAGTTGAAACATTCGCCTGAGGAGGTCTTATATATTACTAGATGTAAAGGTCTGACGCTTAGGAGAGAGATCTAACACTTAACAGGCTGTGGATGTAGGAATCATCAGATGAGGGCTGAAGTCTTAGAAGTGAGCAAGAATGCTATGGGGAGAGCAAGTGTGGAACCCTGGGGAACACTTCACATTTAAGGGATAAGCAGAGGAGGGAAGAGCCTGCGCTGGAGCCCAAAGAAGTGTGCTTAGAGAGAGAGGAACTGGGAAGTTAGGAATCCAGGGAAGAGAACTCTTTAGAGAGTCATTATCCTAAGAAATGCCACCAATGGGGCAAGTGAGATAGACCGTGGAGTGCCAATAGACTTAGCAATAAATAGCTCTTTCCCTTGGTAAGCGTGGTGAGATAAAAGTTAGGTTTTTTTAAGTTTTTTAATAGCCTTTTTTATTCCAATTACTTTAGTTCTCCCTCAGTTTTGCCATCTAAGGAAAAATGTACCTGTCTTATTTGCCCGTTTCACTTGTCAAAGTAGAGTGTTTTAATGCTGTGGTTCCCAATTAGTAGACTCTTGAGACTCAGACATGATTGCGTAGATTGAATAAGCATTACAATTTTTAAAAGTGTAGATATGGTTATGATCAATAGTTTAAAAATCATTAGAAAATATGTTTGAGTTCAGAGTAGATTTTGGATAATTTGTGTTTTTCTCACATCAGCAAAGACCACAGTGATACTGCTGTCGCTTGAGTGTCTTTGAAATGTTTTGACCTTGTAAAGGGAATCCTGTAGGAGAGAGGCCTCTGGAGTGTTGTTACTATTCTTTTTCATAATCCAGCTGGTTGTTAGATGGTTGTAGTCACTTCATGATAATTCAATGAGATGTGCACTGTTCTGTGAGTGCGTTGTAGTTGAATAAAAAATCGGGCTTGTTTGAAGTGGATTGTGAGGGAGTCCTCATAACTCTGAAAGAACTCCTGCATTAAATCTCATAGACCTGTGCCACATGACAGGAGCATTAACCATAGTTCCTCCCACCCTTCCAGTGTGCCGCAGCTTGTAGCAAGGGTGGGATCTGTCGCTAGATGCTTTTTAATGGAGTAGTGATGATTTAGGATTATCACTCTAACTGGGAAGATTCCAGACAGACCAGCAATCATTCATTTGTCTTATTTTGTGTATTTAAAAATTTAGGGAACCTTAAACCCAAGCCTACCTTTTTAGCCTCCACTTTTACTTTGGTATGAAGCTTCTGTCCCACTTAAAGTCCACTTAAATTTGTCTTATTACAGCAGGATACACACGTACCTCATTTGTTTCCATTTTGCTGTTGTTCTTTATACTTTTATCTTGTGATACAGCTGAGGTCCCACTTACATTAAGAATCACTCGGAGGACTTATTAAACACACATATCCCTGGCTCCACCCAAGACCTACTGAAAAAGAATTTCTGCATATGAGGCCCTGGGAAGTTGCATTTTAACAAATTCCCCTGGCAGTTTACAGGTGACTGAGAACCACTACTCTGCCAGCTCACCAGGCTTTCAAGCATCAGCTCAACTTTTTTCTCCATGAAATAATTGTCTTTGCTTAGGAAGATCCCCTCAGAACTCCTGTCTGTACTTTTCATTGGCTCTACATCTTCCACAACTTTGTTCTCACCTTTCTACAGTTTTCTCTGGTTTCTGTCACCAAGTCCTCGAGTCACAAGTGCTCAGCTCTGCCACTGTAGCCTGAAAGCAGACATAGACAGTACATTAGTGAATGAGCATGACTGTATTCCAGTAAAACTTTATTTTAATTTCATGTAATTCCCACATGTCATGAAATATTATTCTTTTCATGTTCCCCAAACATTTAAAAGTGGAATTCTTAGCTTAAAGGCTGTATGAAAGTAGACGGCAGACTGGATTTGCCCCAGCCCCCTCTTCGTGACGATAGCCCTAACACAGTGTTGGTCAGTATACAGCTCATTTTGAGTACTGGGTGAGTGAATTCATTGTAACACTCATGTTTTTACACAGAGCATATGTTACTCATCTTTGTGAAAATATTACCTAGTGTACTAAATGATTCATAAATGTTTGTCGAGTCACTTTTCAACTTTTCCCTTAGAGTTAATGCCGGGGTTATCAGTGTTTTCTATTTTCTTAAATCAACTGCTTTTTTTCCCCTGTGTTTTGAATAGGAAGGCCCAAACAGTCTGATTAATGAAGAAGAGTTTTTTGATGCTGTTGAAGCTGCTCTTGACAGACAAGATAAAATAGAAGAACAGGTATATCTGTTGCTAAAAATCCTAACACTAGGCATTCCTTGATATTTGTTATTTCATGTAAATAGAATTTGAAAATCATGAACCTAGTGACCTAGAAATTGGACTGTGTCTATGTTAAGTCAGAAACAGAAGAATCTTTATAAGCTGGTTCCTTCATTGATCAATTTCCAAGCAATACAAAGAAGACAAGTGATTGCTGAAAGGAAGTGTGCAGTTAACACGAAGTTAAACGGAAACATTCTGCTTCTTCCCTTTGAAGTACCCAACTTTATGATCATGCTGTTGTTATCAAGAACGTATTTACTCTGAGTAAAAGTCTCTCTGAATTTCTCTCTACCATCAGGTACCGTAGGAATTCAAAAGGAAAATGACCAAGAACTTACTTTTCTTCTATGTTAGTACCATTCCTTTTTTATTAACTCCTTTATTGCTTTCACTACCTTCACCTTCACTTACTTCCTGACTTTTAACTTTGCTCCGTTATTTTTTCGTCATTAAATTCACAGCAGTTATACCCAGCTCCTTCTGTGGAAATTAAAGGAAAGCATTTCTTAAATCCTTTCACTGTGCTTTCAAGATTAATTTGATCCTTTGCCGTCTTTAATTCTGCAACAATGCAGTTACCATTTATTACCACTAGATGGTACTTAAGGATGAGTCTTAGTTAACTCTTCCCAGGACTTTAAGCTTCTTGCAAATAAGTCATGTGTATCAGTTTTACGCTGCGAATGGACTTCCATAGAAAAGTTGGCTTGTTCATTCCCTGTCATTGTTAAGGCAGTCCTGGCTGTTATGCCCTCTTACTGCTCTGTCCACCTGAGGCTAAATCACCTGCAGTAGTGACTGTTTGCTTTTCATGCTTATTTTTTTTCTAAATCAGTGATAAAAAGTTCATGTCACATTAGTTTATAAAGCTCATTGCTCATTTTTTATACCCCAAAAATGCTACACAGCATTTCATAAGAGTGGGAACTTTCAGTTCCTAAATGAGCTCTAATTTTGGATGCCAGAAGTATTAACTAAAGTAGTATCATTGTGTTTAGTTTTTTAGAGTTTTTTTTTTCCTTCACTGTGTTTTCTTAATCCAAGATGAATTATTTTGGGAAGAATAGTGAACTATGAGGTCAAGACAACATTGGTCTTAGTTTTGCCACCAACTAACTCTGTAGCTCTAAACTTAACAGTTCAGTTCTCTGGGCCTTGATTTCTAATCTGTGAAACAAGGACTTCCACTAGATGATTGGAATCCTCCCTTCTGGCTCTAAAATGCTGCTCTACTGAATATCAGTATGGTGGTTGAGTTGGAGTTGAAAAGGATCAATGAAACTTTGTGTATGCTTTTAGAAAAGAGAAATATTCCTGGGGCTCTTAACTCATTTAATTTCAGTCTGTTCTCTATGAAACAAGTCATTAAACAGACCATGATTTTCCTTGCCTAATAGCCAGGCACATAATTATGACAAAGGTAATTAGTGTGGTAGTCGTCGTAAGCCTCAGTAATCCATGAAACCAGTTCTGAAGGCCCAGATCACTTCCCTCACCGTGCGCTGTAGACGTTACCCGGGTCACTTGCCTCACCGTGCACTGTAGACGTTAGACAGATCACTTCCCTCACCGTGCACTGTAGACATTACCCGGGTCACTTCCCTCCCCGTGCACTGTAGACGTTACCCGGGTCACTTCCCTCACCGTGCACTGTAGACGTTACCCGGGTCACTTCCCTCACCGTGCACTGTAGACGTTAGACAGGTCACTCCCCTCAGTGTGCACTGTAGACGTTAGACAGGTCACTTCCCTCACCGTGCACTGTAGACGTTAGACAGGTCACTTCCCACACCGTGCACTGTAGACGTTAGACAGGTCACTTCTCTCACTGTGCGCTGTAGACGTTAGACAGGTCACTTCCCTCAATGTGCACTGTAGACGTTAGACAGGTCACTTCCCTCACCGTGCACTGTAGACGTTAGACAGGTCACTCCCCTCAATGTGCACTGTAGACGTTACCCGGGTCACTTCCCTGACCGTGCACTGTAGACGTTAGACAGGTCACTTCCCTCACCGTGCGCTGTAGACGTTAGACAGGTCACTTCCCTCAATGTGCACTGTAGACATTACCTGGGTCACTTCCCTCACCGTGCACTGTAGACGTTAGACAGGTCACTTCCCTCACCGTGCACTGTAGACGTTACCTGGGTCACTTCCCTCACCGTGCACTGTAGACGTTAGACAGGTCACTTCCCTCACCGTGCGCTGTAGACGTTAGACAGGTCACTTCCCTCAATGTGCACTGTAGACATTACCTGGGTCACTTCCCTCACCGTGCACTGTAGACGTTAGACAGGTCACTTCCCTCAATGTGCACTGTAGACGTTAGACAGGTCACTTCCCTCACCGTGCGCTGTAGACGTTAGACAGGTCACTTCCCTCACCGTGCACTGTAGACGTTAGACAGGTCACTTCCCTCAATGTGCACTGTAGACGTTAGACAGGTCACTTCCCTCAGCGTGCACTGTAGACGTTACCCAGGGCTCTCAACAGCACAGCCACTACATAGGTATTCTGTAGTGACACGTTTTTGAGTTTACATTGTTTGTTTTACATTATTTGCCAACATAGGGAAAGACGTGTACAATACAGTGTTACTCAGAAATGGGATCTTAGCAGATGTGCTCAGATAGTGTTGAATAGAACTTACCAGTCATCTTCTGCACAGTTAGAAGATGAGCTCACACACAACACAGTGCAGTTTCTGGTAACGTTATATTTAGTAAATATTTATTGAATGAGAAGAAACTAGGCAAGCTGAGGAGGAGGGACGAGGTTATCTGGCATCTTAACAGGAGTGAGATGATGGGGTGAAGGCAGAAAGGAGACAGATATATATAGTATGTTCTTTGGACATAACTGAAACAAACAATGACATTGGTTCAAATGGTACAGCCCTGCAGGGCCCTGATGAGGCGGAATGATTGGAGTAATTTGGCCAGAGTTTGGATAAGAAAATTACTTTGTCAGCAGTGTAAGATTGGTTCATGGTAAATGATACCCTGCTGGTATCAGAGTCTGACTAGGAGCAAAATCAGAGAACTAATCCCTGGTCAGAGGTAGTATTTGTAAGTCCAAAAGAAGAGATTGAAGTTGGATACATGAAGTAAGTCTCAGGATTTGGCAAAATTTGTGTCTTTAGAGTAGTTTATAATTCAAATATTTACAAGTACTAAAGTGTTCAGTAATTAAATCTTGGTAGTTCCAGGTTATACTATCCCTACCCAAGCTGCAAAATACACTTTAAAACCTTCCCATGTTAACACGATATTTTTTCTGAGTCACAGAGTGAAAAGGTCAGGTTACATTGGCCTACATCCATGCCGTCTGGAGATGCGTTTTCTTCTGTGGGGACTCATAGATTTGTCCAAAAGGTAAGCTGATGTCAGAGTTTACTGAGAGTATATGTCGTATGGTTCTTCACTGTTGATGGAACTATCTTCTTGTATAAGTTTTCTCCCTTTTCTTGAATTTAAGTAATGAGATATTTTTGGTATTATGTATTTTCTTCCATTTACATCCTCCAAAAGAGTTAGAAATCTTCTGAACATAATGTTCTTTCTTTTTTATTTAAGGGGAAAAGGAGGGGTGGGAGTAGATAGGGTGTCTCTAGTACAAAATAGTTAACCAGAAGCATAGCCAGTTATAGTAATCTCTTTTTTCTTTGGGGTTAATTGGTATTATTTTGTATTATTGGAAGCACTGCATTCTTTTTAGGAAGAGTTTGGAGCATAACACATAATAGGTGCATGAAGTCAGCACTTGCTGCTGAGCTTGTTTCGTATGGTGCTTTGTTCTCTCTTTCTTTATCTTGTGTTTGGAAGTTGGTACTGAATGCTCTGTTGTGCCTTTGTTCTGATGACTTGGTTTTTTCTTTGTCTGTCTCTGGTAGCCCTATAGTCGCTCTTCCTCCATGTCTTCCATTGATCTAGTCAGTGCCTCTGACGATGTTCACAGATTCAGCTCCCAGGTACTGTATGAATGTATAGAGTGGACTTGCGTCTTTCTGTGCTATATTTCAGCCTGCTTTCCTGGTTCCTAGAAATCTTTTGGTTAGGCCACTTGTTTTGGTTTTGAATTTTAAATAGTAACAATAAGCATTAAAAAGGCCTTCCTTGTCTACTAAATAGTTCTCTACCAGGCTTGCATGTGCACTTTGAATCCCATACTGTGAATAGCTTGGAATTCTGCCGAATAGAAAGTACTCCCGGAAAATTTCAAACTGAATTGAAATGAGTAGAAGGTCCCTGGTTTTTAAATATCACGTAATATCTGTCTCTTCAGACAAGATTCAGCAGCTTTGAGGGACATGGTCTATGAGATATGTTAGAGCTCAAAGCAGATCTCAACAGTCTCACTTCTGATCTAATTTAAAATATTTCATAGTTATATTCAAGAGGGAAATAACTTTTTAAATAAAATTTCTCTCATTACCATTATAATGTTAAGCTCCAGTTGAACAGTATTTCCCTTATGCAAATTATCCTGGGGTATTATAAGTTAATATTGCTGTCCGAATGCTAAATTTATGGAAATTGGTTTTAAGTTATTTAGCATCGGTAAGGATTTAGGAATTTAAGACAGGAAGCTGCATGCTTGCAGTCTCTGCCCTTATAATAAAATCAAAGTATGCTTGGAGGAATACTTTTTAGCATCAGCATTGGTTAAAAAAATTTTTTTTATCTTCACATCTTTAGCATTCCACTTTGTATCTTTATGGTGATTGCGTTTTATTGGGTTGCTGTATGTTATCTCATGTTAAGAACCTGCGCTCTGTAGTTGAAATGACCGAGTTTAAATCCTGGTTAGCTGCAGGGTGTTGGACAGCTTTTCTGACTCTCCTGTGCTTCGCTTCTGTGGTCCAGCTAGGACTGTGCTCCAGCTAGAGCCTGGCACATAGTGAACGCTCAGTAAGTGTTAGCTCTCATTAGCTTTGTAATAACATCATTTCTCTGAGCTAATCAAAATGACATACTTTTTTTCTCTGTGAGTATTCCAACAAAAGTTTTTAAAAGTCATAGTTTAAAACAGATTTCTCTTTTGTGTAAACATGTACGAATAAAATTTGTTAGTTCTTAACTATGTAATAAAGAAGAAAACTAAGTTTAAGACTCAAAATGTGTTTTTCTGACCTTTCCAGCTTTTTTCTCCTTGCATATTTTGGAGAAAGAGATGTATCAATTCTTCATCAGAAATCACCCATAGCCAAACTTATTACAGTATTTCTTACCTTTTGCTCATCCATTATGTGTGCTTTTAAAAAAGTGACTCATATTCACAATAATCAGTGACAAAACTAGGTAATACTGGGAGACTTTGGTTTACTCTGCTGAGCTCCACATTGCATTAAAATAATAAAGTAACAGATTAACTAAAAGCCATCAGTACTGGTCACCATGTTCCTTTAAAATATAAGAATACACAGGTTATAAATGAAAGGAAATGTAATGAGAGCGAGAAAAGAATGTAAGCTCCTGATGGGTGCCTAAGAATGAGGGCTTCTGACCCCAACCGTGGAGCTCTAGAGCAGCTGATAGCCTTCAAGCACAGATGACCACGTCGCTGAGAAGCAGGTGCCTGGATCTGTACAAGACTTTGCCAAATCGTAGCTTACTTCTTTACCTAATTTTTTGTGTAACTCTTGAATATAAGTTGAGAAAAATCTTTCTAGTGGATTTTTTTCTAATCTATGATACTCAAGGTTGGTCAGATTCTGTTTTTAGCTTTTGATTATTGTACCGTTTTGTATGCCAAAAGAGACAAAAATAAAGAAAAATAACATCCAGGTCTTCAAGTATTGTCCTTGCTAAAGTATTTATTATCATTAGCAGACCTTGGCTCTGGTAATTAACTGTTGCTTAATTTTGCTTTGCCATCTACATACGTGTCTTGGTTTATGACTGCCTTGTTCTTGTTGAAATGATGTTCATAGTCCTAATAGGGTAGGATAATTAAGCGTAGAACTGAGACAGGCACTGAAAATAATTTCAAATTAAGGAAATTAGGAATTACTAGGAAATTAGTAGTGACACATGAATCTGTCTGATGGGTGTATCCTGGGAGTGAAGTAGCTCTAAATCAAAGTGCACACAAAGTAGACAGGACTTGACTCATAAACAAATCTTTCTGGTCACATTTCTTTGCATAACACAGTCACATTTATTTGCGTAACACAGTTACCATCAAAAATCAAATGGCAAAAAAAATCATCCTCTGTTGGAAAAAAAAGAAAAATCAAAGGATGAGCAGTGCTCTGCAGGTTAATCTATGGTGAGCTTCAGTGCAAATCACTTCTGTGTAAAGCTTTTTCCCACTGTATGTCCATGGTAACACGTTGTTGTGGTTATTATGTATTTCACCCCTCCCTTTTTACTGTGTAAGTAATAATGCTAATTGTAGCAGAGATGGAAAGTAAATTAAAATACTAAATCACTGTTAATATTCTCATACGTATTCTTTTCCATATATATATATTTTTAAAAAATCAGGCACATATTGATAAATACACCCACGTTAATAATTGTCTTTTTTTACCAAAGTAGATAATTCTGTATCTACTATTTTGGAACCACCTTTTTTCCTTTTTTTGACATATAATTAGGCCCATCTTCCTATCAGTGAATATAGGTCTACATCTCCTTGTCTATTACATGGCTACGTGTACTGGCTTTACCTATTCAACCTAATATTGAGCATTTAGTTTATTTTCAGTTTGTCTCTATTATACAGGGTGCTACATGGGCATCCTTGTGTATACATCTTTGTACACTTATCCAGTTATTTTCTTAGAATATATTCCTAGAAGCAGAATTGTTAGGACAAAGGGCGTGCACACTTCTAAGTTTTTTTTATTCTTATTCCCTAACTGTTCATTAGAAAAGTTGAACCAACTACACTCCCAGGTCAGTTTTCTTTTGCTGTAATGACACTGAATATTGTAATTCAGGTAATTTTTGTCGTTCTGATAGACGAAAAGTGTTATTTTTGCTTCTTAGCTGTTTGCATTTCTTCTGTGAATTAACTAATGATGTCCTTGGCCATTTTTCTTTTGGGTTAGCAGTACACTGTTAATTTGTTATTAACAGATGTTCTATCCAACAAATCCCTCTGTGCCTCTGACTCCACGTGTAACAGTAGGCATAGTTGTGTTGCTTTCACATGGGTAGGAGAAAGAAATCTGAGCTGCGTTTGAACCCTTCTAGGACTTTTGTTCGTTAGAATTTTGTTGTACCATCAAAGAGCAATTTTCTTTTAAAATTTCTGTATTAATAATGTTAGAAATATACAATTAGATAACCTCCTAAAATGGCATACTGAATGATTCAAATGTGAGGTGGAAGAAAAGGTTAGAATTGGAGTGCCATCACCTCTTGTTTCAAATTTATCTCGCTTTTTTCAATAGTTCCTTTGATATGAAACTGCTGTGTGTGTCAGCACATCATTTTCAACTCTAGGTGCAAAAAAAATACAAGGGCATGATTCCTTAAATTATGCTTAGTCTAATTAAAACTTGCAAACACTAGGGGGCTGGCCCCGTGGCTGAGTGGTTAAGTTCACGCGCTCTGCTACAGGCGGCCCAGTGTTTCATTGGTTCGAATCCTGGGCGCGGACATGGCACCGCTCATCAAACCACGCTGAGGCAGCATCCCACATGCCACAACTAGAAGGACCCACAATGAAGAATATACAACTATGTACGTGGGGGCTTTGGGGAGAAAAAGGAAAAAAATAAAATATTTAAAAAAAGAACCCACAAGGGTGTGTTACAGCTTTAAAAAAAAAAAAAAAAAACTTGCAACCACTGTTAAAGCAGGTGCAACCTGCTTCAATGATTGTGACCCAGTGTTTTGGTTTTTTTTTTTACA